TCGTCGGCCGAGCTCGGCCGAGGACTAAAATTTGTTGATGTTGCGTTGGGTGCGCGGATGACTTCTGTGTCTCGCGATTGCGACCAAGGAAGGAACACGTCTCGGCCTCTTGGGTTCTCGAACCTAAAGACAAGGCTACTATTCTTACGAAGTTCACAAATCATCGTCATCGGATTCGATCACAGTGACGGTATTCGTCAGAGTAAACTCACGCCGAATCGACACCAAAGTGTAAGGGCACAAATACTCAAAGCGGATATGTCTTAACAATAAACGTGGTTCGACCCTCGAAATGCCGAACTGTAAATCCCACCTGAGAGTATCCAATCATAAACTAACTCGGCGTGCAATGTGCCGAGCCTAATAAACTGTAACACCTCACTTCGCCAAGAAGGCTAATGAGATGACCTCGACCAATAAGGATTCAGAAATCCTTTTTGACCGAGACTTGGATAGATAACCAGTCACCCTCAACGCAGTGCTATTTATGCCAACTGAAGATGTTGCGAGACCGGCTGGTTCTACGGTGAAAGTGTTATCTATGCCGACTAAAGATATCACCGGTTGCCTTCACAATGCTGTTTATCCAAACTGAAGGTGTGTCGGCGGAAAAAGAAAAGGAAAAAATCTCAAGGTTGTTGAGAGAATTTGCACAGGGCAGTTGTGTGTTGAATTGAAGGGGGCTTTGAATCATGCACAACCTCCTCTATTTATAGCATTAGGTACTGTCTAGATCGAGTTAAAACCCTACTTGGATTAGGATTTCTTCTTCTAATCAAACACCATCTCGACCAGTCCTATTTTCACTTTGACTTTGAACCCAGTCCTTTATCAAGCCGGATTCACTTCTGGTTTATCAATATCCATATCTTGCTGAGACTCCTTATTCCACCAGGATTCAATTACTCGTCTCGCAGCATGACTTAACCGACCTAGGTTAGGAAGCCCATGAACTAAACGATCCACGGTAACCTTTTCGTAAGGCCTTCTGAGCCGAGAATAAATCTCGACCCAAACCAATATTTTGGGCCCAAACATTGCCCCCTCGCTTCTAAGGACTTTTTCAGCCTGAAGTCTTTGGCCGAGCCTTGACCTTAGAAAAGAGACACTAGGCTCCGTCTCCCGAGGTGCATTTATGAAGCACGATTGCACAATCTTGATTTCGTCAGATACCTCGCCAAGTGTCCTCTTCTCAGCATGACCTGAAGTGTCTTTTCATCATTACCCCTTTGATCCGCAAGATTTTTGAATTCCTCAAGGCGTGCGGATGTCCAAACATCCTCACATCATTATACCTATCGCTGCATGCCATCATGGAATCTCGATTTACGAATCTTTCGGTACCCTCGAGATCGTGCGGACACCAAAACATCCTTTCTTCATAAAAGGACGTCGTCACAATATCATCATGACCCCTTAATCTGCGAGTTTTTTGGTTCTTTCTCCTGGGTCTGTTAATATTCTCCATCACTCCATAATTATTAGCGATCTTCTCGATCACTCTCCCCATTTGGTCTTCCATTCCACGAGTCTATAAATACCCAGCCTTCTATTATTCATTCTTTACGTTTTCAAATTTTCCATACTTTCTCTTGTTCAAAAGATTAAAAGAAAATCCCCTGACTTTCTCCCAGAAAACCTTCAAAACCATTCCAATGGCCTCCTTCATCTCTAAGCTTTCTAAGGAATGTGATAAATGAGGGCAATCATCAACCAGCACTCAATCAAGACTCTGTGCTTTGAGAGCGACATGAGCACCCCCCACCAGATCCTTGGTCCACTTTTTAAGGATGCAGTGCCACCAGCTATTACCAAACTCTTCAAGGAGCAGTGTCTAACACCCCTACTGCAAGGGTTTGAATGGTCGATGTGGGATTCAGCAAAACCCCAAGGCTCCTGGCCCTCAACCACTACAACCTGGGCAACCTGGGTTGCACGGATGGAAAATATCTTCGGTGAGCAATAGAAAGCTCTTGGCATTTATGATGCCATTCGTCTTTCGTCTATGGAGCTCGTCATGGACAAGGAGCTTCTTATGGTAGCCTCAAGCTTCTGGTGCTCAGCCACCAGCACTATGGTCCTTCCCCTCGACCCCATGGGTCCTACTATCCTTGATATTACCGCGATCCTAGGGACTTCCCCTTTTGGCATCCCGGTTGACGCTACCCTCTTCGGGTACCCATCGACCATCGACCTGAAGGCACTTTTCAACAATCGGGCTATCGAAACGCTGAGCGGAGAGGGTCAAAAACCCTCAAAGGAGGAAGTTCATAAACTTTATAAGAACTTCCTCAACTACAACACTCTTTACCTCCACTTTGCCGACCGAGAGGAGGAGAACCTACGGCAGGGAGAACACGAAGCCTTCCTCTTCTACTGGTATAAGAAATTTATTTATTGTACCAAGTCCAACAAATGCTTGGTCGAGAACATGCCGGTGGCCAAAGCCCTGGCTAGCGGTCACACCCTGGTGCTTAGTCCAGCCATCCTTGCCCATCTTCTGCGTTGTTTGGCTGAGATGACCCTTCACAAGATCGACCTACACCAGAGTGGCCCCCTCTAGGTATTCCAACTTTGGCTGCAGGTTTATTTCATCACCCTTCGGCCAGAGCTTGCCAGTTTCTCGACTACTGAAGTGTTTGGCCTTCAGGTGGCCTCTCGACCAGTACCTTCTCACCAAGCTGAAGACGTGTTCAGATACTTTTTCAGCCTTAATGCCCTTTCCGACGATGAATTCTTGATCTGCCGTCGTCAAGAATATCCTTTGTCGATCAAACTTCCCACATCAGCATGGAGTGCAGTTAATGATGCTGATCTCCGTCAATCTTGGGGGTCGTTTGTGCTTACCCGCGACCTTCCTCTTGGGTGTGACGCGCACCGAGCAAGTTGGGAAGTATATCACCCCCAATTCACTACTTGGTAACTCGGCTATCTTCAGGGTTGCCCGATGCCTCTTCTTACCTCTCGCTCCCTGTTGAGCCGATGACGCCTATCTGGCTCTTCAAAGAAAGAGTGCAAAGATGCCAAAAAGAAGTTTCAAGAACGGTTCCAAAAATTCCGCATTCGACCAACCGTTCCAAAATCCTTTAGTATTAACACTTTCGGTGATTGGTGGGAAGAGTATACCCAAAACAATTTTGGTGCTCCGGTCGCAGATGTCCTGAACAAGATCTTCGGCGGTCGACCTAATAAGGCTTCTGCCCCCCAATCCCAAGGTAATGGTCTATTCCTACCTTCTTCCTTCGACTTTGAACTCTACTGATTTGCTTTTACTTTCTCAAGTAGTCGGTCACTGAAAAAGGTAGAAGTGGTCGCTGAGGCGGTGGCTAGGAAAAAATTGACCATCTCCAAGAGGGCTAAGACCACTACGCAGGCCTTGCTGAGCAAACGGCCTCGTCAAGAGGTCAAGTTGGCCGTCGAACCCTCTCGACTGGTAAAACGGGTCAAGAAGCTGGCGAAGAAAGAACGGGAGATTCATGTTATCTCCAGTCAGACTACGGGAGCGACGACTCCTTGTGTTTCCCTTCTACCCCTGTCGTCCAAGCTTCGACAGAGAAACGGCCAATTCTTGCCAAAGAAACAGCCCATGTACGGCCTGTTTCTCAAGTCGTTGGACCAGTTGTTGCTCCACTGGTCGAGGCGTCTGTAGCTTCGGGGCCAGCTGTTGCGCTTGTCTTGGAAGGAGCGGTCCCCTTGGCCGAGACAAATCTTCCTGAAAATCCAAAACACACGGCAGTCGTTGTAGAAGAGAGCGACGGGAGTGATGAGATTCCATTGACGAGTCACCTTCAACCACGTAATCCATCTCCCCCTGTGCCCGAGGCAGTTGTCCAAGTCGGCCCTTTTGCGGTCGATCATGGCAAACGACCTTCCGTAGAGCCAGAAGCGACGGTGGAAACACCCGTTCATCCGCAGGACCAGAACCTTAACATTGCTCCCCAAGAAGCCACTTCGGCCTTCATAAGTACCCCTACCACTTTTCTTCGGTTACTTTTCTACCTTAGAACTCTAAACTAGAAAGATACCAAATGTCAGGTGCCTACCCATTCTTTTCATCAAAAATTCTACGCGACGAAAGGTGTTATCTATATTTCTTGGCTGCCGTAATGGCCATCGAACGTAGATAACCTTCATCGGCCGCGTGAACTGAGAAGCAGTCTAAGACACTGGGCTCGGCCATTAAGTTCTTTAGGTTAGAGCAACGAACCCTAAGATATGGCCGAAGTCTCCTCTCGGCAGGTTTAAAACAAAAACCTTCTTGCTATATTCTGTCGTGATTTCCTTATGCTTAAACTGATTTTTATGTTCAACCTTCATGGGAAGTCAAGTTTAAAGCTCTCTTATCAAGCACTTCTGGAGCGGCTGGCCCTTCGGCTACTACAACTGAACCTGTCGATTCAGCTGCTCTGGTTCGACTGCAAGAATTTTTGTCTCTCTCGGCGTCACAAGTCCTTGAGCACAAATGTCTTGATTTGTTGGGTGCATGCCTAAACGACCTCGGAGCAGATGGTCAAATGAGCGCCGAGGCTATTGTTCAGGCGTCGTCCGCCTTGGAGCGAGTTCGAGAATCCTTTAATGTTCTCGAGAATGCTCTTCGGGCTGATAATGATTTGAAAGCTGCCATGGCCGTCCAGACAATATTCGTCTGAAGATCGATGCTTTAAAGGTGAAAGGGGAAGCCTTGACCGACCTTGACCGACCTTGACCGACCTTGACCGACCTTGACCGTCAAATGGCCGAACTGGCAAAACGAAGGTCGGCTATTGCTTCTGAGCTTGCGAAGGACTTCGAGTCGGGCGGTAAAGATTGTTTAACCGAGTATGCGGCGAACGCAAAGCAAGTCAAGCAGCTGAAGATGGACAAGAAGAACCGGCAAGCTGAGGTCATAATGGGCGAAGCAAGGTGGCTTGAGCTGAAGGCACTTCTTGAAACTCTTCTTCCTTCATCGCCTTAGAATATTTTAATTGTAAACCATCTTATTAATGAAATGAAACAAGCTTTTACTCTTGCATCTCCCATGTGACTGGGTAGTATTTTTTTAAGAACTTTCCATTAATTGGTAATTCGTGAATAATACCGATTCGATCTCTAAGATGGTATGCCCCTTTATCGAGAACTTTATGGACGACAAACAGTCCTCCCCAATTCGGCGACCATTTGCCAAACCTGGGGTCTTTAATTCCCATGGGTAACACAGTTTGCCAAACTAACTCTCCTTCGCCGAACGTTTTTTGTTTGACTCTTTGATTATAAGCTCGCTCGGCAATTTTCTTTTGTGCCACTAGAAGATTGTAAGCATCAAGCTGATCTTCTTCCAAATCTTCTAACTCTTGTAACATGGCCTGGTTGTATTCGACGTTGGACAAACTACTCTGCTCGATCACGCGTAAAGAATTTACACTTAGATCGATTGGTAACATCGCGTCATGTCCATAGGTTAACGTATATGGGGTGGTCCCCGTTGCTGACCGGGGTGAAGTCCGATATGCCCATAAGGCTTCATTCAATTTTAAATGCCACATGCCAGGTCTTTCTTTTATCATTTTTTTAAGAATATCGATCAAAACCTTATTACTTGCTTCGGCTTGTCCATTCGCTTGTGGATAGTATGGTGTGGACTGCTCAAGCCAAATTTTTAAGCTCGCCGTATACTCTTTGAACCTTTCAGCTATGAAGACTGTGCCATTATCAGTTATGATCGTTTCTGGTACACCGAACCTAGTCACAATATGTTCCTCCACAAAATCGCAAACCTCCTTGGATGTTAATTTGGCGTATGATTTTGCTTCGACCTACTTAGTGAAATAATTCGTTGCCACGAGTATCCATGCATGTTTCGCTACTCCAGAAGATGGGGTGATTTTTTCGATCACGTCCATTGCCCATCCTTTGAACGGCCAAGGTTTGGTGACCCAATGAAGTAATTCGGCCAGGGCCCTTTGGATGGGTCCATGAATTTGACACTAGATGTATCTTCGTGTATACTCGATACAATCTTTCAATATGCTTGGCCAAAGGTAACCGTGTCGGCGAAGTAGCCAACGCATCTTGCGTCCTGATTGATGGGCTCCATAAATTCCTTCATGTACCTCTGTGATTGCTTGGGCAGCTTCTTGCGGGCCAAGGCATAACAGTAATAAATCATCCTCGCCTTTTCGATACAACTCATTCTGGTATGAGACATAGTTTATGGCATGGGCCTTTGTCTTTCTGTTGTGTTTGCCTCTGGGATTATCAAGGTATTGCATAATTGGCCTTCTCCAATCGTTTGGTAGCGTCTCGACCACGCAAACTGAAGGAAAAATTTTGTCCTAGCTAAGAACATGTAAGAACATTTGAATACATATGCAAACTATTAACACTTTAAAGTAGGCATGCATTCAAAAACAATTCATAAAACCCATGAATTTCAAAGCCTAGTATATGGTGAACCAAAAGACTCTTTAACAACATTAAAGAGAATTAAAGATTTAGAGTTTCTTTACCCTTGAAGCTCATCCTTGTTTACACAAGGGATTCACCCAAGTGGAGGGCCTTCAACTCACCTCCTAGCTCCTTGGATATTGCTTGTGATTTCCTTCTCCTTTTGTGCTCCTTTGGACTTTGTGGATGTAAGGAAAGGATCTCCAAAACACCAAAAGTTTGGTGTCTCTAAGTCTCCACACCAAGGGTTAAGTGTGAAGATGAAATGGATGACTTAGGGAAGAAGAGATTGCTAGATTAATCTCCCTAAGTGGCCGGCCTCTTTGTAGAGAGAAAGAGAGAAAATGTTTCACCTATTTACCTCAAAGAAAACCCTAATGAGAAAATAGCTATAAAGTTGCTTTTATAACACTTTTCTTTGGTGAGTGGCAAACTTGCAATTAAGCAAACTTTCACCATCTCCTCACCATGGCCGGCCTATATGTTGTGATTGGGCTTATTGCCCATTTTGTTTTAGTTGTCATACAACTTAAACATAATGGGCCTTATGGACCAAAACACTTTTGGGCCCCGAAACCCAAAACCAACTTAAAAGCCCAATACGAACCTTTCGTATAATTAATTAACTAATTAATTAATCTTGACCATTCTTCAATTAAACCATTTAATTGCATATCCATTTCATTTAATTTCTTCACTATCGCCCTTACTCGGTGTACGATCCATTAGGTTCCAATTAGCGAGGTAGTGGGCGATTGTTACTCTTAACGATCGATTGTGAATTGAAACCTCATTTCAACTCTCCCCTTATGATTACTGTTTGCTAGTCATTAGGGCTTCCACAAACCATGAGTGACACCTAGCAGTATGTCATGGTTACCCAAGCTAAGTAGAATTGGTTGGAGAACCTATCCAGTTACAACTACAATGCAATACGGTCATTCTCTAATACAATACTCTTAATCACATTGTTTAAGTGATAGTTTGTTTCATGTCTACTATCCAATGTGATACTTTTCTATATGATTCCTTTGAATATGAATTGGAACAAACTTCCTAAGTCATATTCATTTGCTTTGGCCAAAGACTTACGAATCATATCTTAGAGTATTCTCCTTCCACCATGGAAGGTTAGAGATCCCTTATTGTGCATTCATATGCCTACATGACTAGATAGCTTGACCCTAACAATGTCGTGGACACTCCGATGGAATGCCGTTGACATGATCAAAGATCAAGGACCTAACCATTAGACATCTATGATGCCTCAAGTCAAAAGACTACTTTGCATATTGCAACTTTCGAGTTCTTACATGACATGTATGTTCGAACTCTCTTTCGATCATTGTTCAGTGTACTCGGTTACTCTTTCGAGCGCCTATGTGTTTGTCTTAGTGTCCAACACCAAATGACTTGAGACTAGTCATACTCAAGCTTGAGTCGACATAACACATACTAACCTTAGCGGATTGTCAATACCCAATTGGCAATCCTATGGCTAGGAACGTTTTAGGAATGAACATAAGAGAATGATCTCGATAATCTAACTCACTTAGATCACTTATCTCTTAGATCAAATACATCCCTTGGATTCCCTTATTACTTAAACACATGATACAATAAATAGTGATCAACAATAAGCTTTGCCCTTCATTAAACATATAAAAGTTTAATACAATAAGTATTCCAAAAGCTATTACATCAAATGAGTGGCTTTGTGGGCATACTTCCAACACAAACATCTACAGGATCCTCCCGTTCCAACACGCGGAAGGATTTGTTGATTAACCAAAGCCGGATACGATTGCCGTAAAACAGGTATCATTGGTCCACTCTTACCCCCCATGAGTTGTACTTCGGAAGCTATCTGAGCGAGTTCATCTGCGACGGTGTTCCATCCATGGGAAATATGATTGAAAGTAATATTGTCGAATTACTTAGCCAAGTAACTGGACACCATGTGATAGGGTGCCAGAATGCAACTCATACACCGAAAAGTTCCATTAAGTTGGTTAATCACAAGCTCCGAATCACCGAAGACGAGGACGCGAGCAGCGTGCAAATCATGAAGTACGCTAAGGCTGATAACAAGGGCTTCGTATTCGGCCTGATTGTTGGTACAATCGAAATCCAACTTGAGGGAAAAGAACCAACGATGTTGGTGTGGAGACTGGAGTACGATCCCCACACCGGCCGATGTTGACGTGCTGGAACCATCGAAATACATCGTCCAATAATTGTCACGTGCTTCCACCATTCCGATTTCAACATCGTTGCCCCCCAACCCATATGGAGAATGGTGGTGGGCTAAGAAATCAGCAAGCGTTTGTCCTTTGACGGCTGTTTGTGGGACGTATTGCAAACTAAACTCCGATAGTGCCAATGTCCATTTCCCGATTCGACCTTTGACTATTGGCTGAGTAAGCATATATCAAATAACATCTGTCTAGATGATGACCTGCGTAACGAATGGGAGCATATAATGTCGGAGTTTTGATGCGGCGAAGAACAAAGTCAAGCAAAGCTTCTCAACTGGTGAATAATTGATCTCTAGAGGATTGAGGTGTCGGCTGAGATAGAAAATAGCTTGTTCTCGGCCAGTGTCAGTATCTTGTGCGAGGAGGCAATCGATGGATTCTTCGGCTCTGAAAATGTAAAGCTTAAGGGGTTTATCACGTCGAGGCAGTACGAGGACGGGTGGAGTTGCAAGAGCAACCTTGATTTGTGTGAAGTTGCTCGATGTTCTTCACGCCACTCAAACTTATCTGAGTCCTTAAGTTTCAACAGTGTAGAGAATGCCATCATTTTGCCAGTGGAATTAGCTATGAATCGGCGAAGAAAATTTATTTTCCCGAGCAAAGACTGGAGTTGTTTTTTTGTCGTCGGTGGTGGGGCGTCAATAATTGCACGAGCTTTGCACTCGTCGACCTCAATGTCTCGATGGTGGACAAGAAAACCTAAGAAATTATCGGCCGACATGCCAAAGGCGCATTTGGCCGAGTTCATCTTAAGGTTATGTCATCACATGCGAAGGAAAGCTTGCCGAAGATCATCAATATGCGTTCGGCGACTTTTTGATTTGACCACGACGTCATCAATATACACTTCTAAGGTAGTGCCAATCAAGTCATGAAAAATAATATTCATCGCGCGTTGATATGTAGCACCGGCGTTTTTTAGACCGAATGGCATGACTACCCACTATTAGGTTCCAAGTGCCCCCAGGCAGCGGAAAGCAGTTTTATGAACATCGCCCTCGGTAATAAATATCTGGTTATAACCGGCGTGTCCATCCATGAATGATAGCATGTCATGATTAGCCGCGGCATCGATTAGCAAATCTGAAATTGGCATGGGATATGCATCCTTAGGTGTTGCCATATTCAAATTTCAAAAATCAATGCAAATGCGTAGGGCCCCATTTTTCTTGAGCACTAGTACGATATTCGCCAACCACTCGACGTATCGAGCTGTTCGGATAAACCCGGCATTTAACAGTCAAACAATTTTGTCTTTATGCCGAGCTGTACTTCGGTCGAGAATCGACGAGGAGGTTGTTTAATAGGCTTGCAACCAGGTTTGATACGTAATTCATGTTCGACAAGGGTCCGGTCGAGACCCGGAATCTCATGATAACTCCAAGCAAAACAGTCTTTAAACTCGTGAAGCAATTGATGAAGTTCAACTTTCATGGCATGGGGTAATAACGCACTAATAATAGCAGCCGAGGATCATCGACCTTTCCAACATTTATTTCCTCTAGAGGATCCTTAACTTGGGTCGGCTATCGTCGAGCTCGACCGGTGCGGCCTGAACTTTATCCAATGATAGTACCGAGCCGTTATCCTCTTCGGCCAAAAATTTGATTAAGTTGATGCCCGATGGTGTGAAAATTAAATTAACACACAAATTAAATCCTATTGATGACAATTGTAGTATTAAGCAAGTAGGGATCGTTCTAGACCGGGGATTAACTAGGGATGCTAATCAACACAAA